TAATTTTCTTGAATTTCTTCCTCTTTTGTATCACCCATTGGACCAACTAAATTACTATAAAAAACTTTATTAATGTTTTATTTGAATAGTACTTGAATTATTAAGGAAATACCTGTTAGTCATTGCGGGCCCATGAGGAGGTGCGAAATTATCAAGATGATGGGTTAAATGTAGTAAGACACATTCAGCAATTTCCTACAATAGAAATCATTTTAGTTTAATAATTTTTAATATCCTTTCGCTAGTAAAGCTTACCTTTACAAGTTCCGGATCTTCAATGCTGTCGGCGCCAACAACATGAACACCATGTTCATTATTCAGGCTAGCAGACAAAGATATTTTGCGATCAGCTTTTTTGAATCGTACTGTGGCGTCGTGAATATGACGTTTGCCTCTGCTTTTGTTTGGTGGAATTGGAAGTAACTTATCATGGTATCTTGGCGAATCATTCTGATCGAAATAATACGCCGTATTATTATAATGAATTGACCTTAATAAATTTAAAAATTTGAGCATCCTTTTACCCCAGTAATTTCAAAAGCCAAATCTATCGCCTCAAACACGAGTTGATATAATTCAGTCTCGGTAAATAGCTTAGAAGGTATCACCATTAACCATTCAAGCAAACAATAAAATAATTTTGCAATGATAAATCCTAGTAAAGATACAAAATGCTTATTAGATAAGTATATTCAGTAGTATGACAAAAAAAATTGAGACAAACCTCGTCCATTTCTTTGTGCTCCTCTTTGTAAATTTAAATGTTCATTTAAAGCACCAATTAGATTGCCAAAAAGATCTTGAAGAACCATCAGATACATCTACATAGGAAAAAAAACTTCTATAAAACACCAAATAGAAAATAAACATAACTATATAATAACAACAATTCAATTACCCCATCATCATCCCAAGTAATGCTGCAGTTTTGTGCAAACACAATCAAACAATCAGCCGCAGCACATACCACTGGCAAATGACTCCAATACAATTGATCAAATAATGCAGAGAAGCATTCTTTGACAATAGTTTTAGCAGGGCTAGAAGAATTCCAAAATTAAAGGTGCAAAGAATTTCAAGATAAAACTCTGCGACAAGTTAAGAAACGGGAAGACTATCAATGAATATTTAGATCTCTAACCTAGGAGTCGAGGTGACTTCGTCAAAAGCGAGTGTACAGATACCTTGTAATATCATTATATGCGTCTCTGGATTGTGTATATTTTCTTCAGTTGCAAGTGCTTGGACTAGAATTTCCACAAGTATCAATCTTAACTATTATCATATAAATAGGTGATTATTATACATCGTGATGCTCATTTTTTAACAAGATATTAATTTATATTTCTCATTATTTCTTACCTCTGAACAAGAAATGCTATCTTTATGATCAAACGATGAACTATCCAAATCGATCATTTTTAATTTAGTCAATTTATGATATGGTATTATTGGAACTTTAAGATCGGGGTTTTGGTTCAATATACAAATCAACGAACACAGAATCGTAATTGCATTTTGACGTGTCGACTCAGGCAGATGAGACCGATCATGCTTTGTAAGTAGGTTCAGAATACTTTCAATAAATCGATAAAAAAGAATATTGCTTCCCGGCAATACTTGCGCAAATAGTCTCGTAGAATTATTAATAATAGCATATGTTATCGAAGTATCAGTGTCTGATAGCCCTTTGAGCAAGGCTCGATAAAAATGCGAATAATAGATGTTTGGAACTTCTTGATCTTGCTTTCGTGACATCATTTTGCAAATGCCCCCATAAGCGAGAGCTCGACCAGGAGCGAAAGCCCTATTTAGGAGTCTTTTTAGTTAAATCAGCTTTAAATTTAAAGTTAAGAAACAAGGCATACATACAAAGGCATATCACATGCTTCTAGAAACCAAGGCGCGAATTCATAAAGTAAAGGCAGCGGGACATTACTATATGGTTGATTATCGCGGATCTACAAAAAATAGTTATATGGTGAGATAGCCTGATTTTCCATAAATCAATAAAATGTGGTTTAGTTTTATCAGTTACCAAATTGAGAGTATCCCAAAGATGAACTAAACCTTTTATCGCGTCGGAGTGATTTGGTGGAATCTAATGTCCAAATGTAAGGAATATAAATAACAAATAGTAATTATAAACGGTTCGAATTTTTTAACTTGCCTCAATTTCATTTACATTGCCCAAAGCACATAACATATTTTTCCATATCATTAAAGAATTTTCACAATTCCAAGGTAATGAATCCAAACTTAAGAATTCAGGACTTTTAAAATTAGCCAAAGATGATGAAATTCTGTCACTGCTAAAATTTGGTTGTGCAAATAGTGCAGAAGAAGTTGATGTTCGATTTGACTAATAAAGGTATAAAGCAAATTATTCATATTTTTTATATATTGATAATAGTGAATGATGTTATAAATAACAGAAATACCTTTACTCCACTATTTTCTTCAATTGGCATTTCACTATTTGCTTCGAAAAACACATCATTCTCATCATCATCATCGTCATCATCGTCGTCGGATGCAACGCTTCCAGAATAAGTGGATGAACCACCATTGAATCCATTACTCACAAAATTAAGTAAGGCTTGTCCGCCTAAAAGCTTTGAATCATCCTGATGCATGCTCGCTACTCTCCGAGAAGTTTTAATCTCTGATGCTGATTTCGTGCTACTATAATCAGGTGAAACAATTTCTTCTCGTGACGAATTACTGCCGGATGATTTATGTCGTGAATCTTTTAACGACAAATGCCGTGTTCGATTTTTAGATGGTTTGCGACGATGTCTTTCTGATATTGATAATTCTGAAAGACGGCGATTTAAATCAACAGCTTCAAGGTCAACTTGGTAAAGATGCTTTGAAAGAATTTTAGTGAGGCGATCCATGGTTTTCTGAATTAAAGAGAATACAAAATGAAAAAGAATGAATCAATGTGAATTAACAATTGCCTAAAGCTACTCTAAACACATACTTTCCACTGAAATATAGTCTGCGACCATCGAGTACTTTCTTTCATTTGAGTTGACAACCCTTGCCATAGATCCGATTGAGTTGACATGGATCGAATAAATGCAATTAATATCGTCTATTATTATTATTAATATTTATGAGTGTAATTCAGTAATAATACATAAAATAAATCAAGAATAACCTACTTCAACTAAATAGTCTGCGAATTCGTGCGCAAGATGTACAGATGGTATAGGTCCGTATTTTTCACTTTGATTCATAGTCTTTTGTTGGATCTCTAATAGACATACCAATAATGTTTCCCTTTAAAAAATCCAATTAGAATTCATTGTAGTAGTAGATACGAAGAAATAAAAACCTAAAAGAAATAATGAAATAATAATAAATAATAGTTTAAGATAAATACCATGTCTCATTCTCGAGTTCGATAGGGCCATCCCCAATAATTGCTCGATATAATGATAACACGTCACGATATATTGATACCTGAGCCTCCACTTCAGTATTTGTCATTCCACCATCGACGCTCACAAATGAACAATCATCAAAGACTAGAGTTAATAGTTTAATGTATCGTCGAAGATATATGTTTGCATCTGCATAATTCACTGTTTGCGAATTTCCCGAGTAAGAGGGAAACAAGGGTAATGTTTTCAAAGTTTCAGTAGAAGCTGAAGATGATACATATGCATCGGAATTTTGGTTATAAATTGTTGGTGCTGAAGTTGTTTTACGAAGAAAGACAGGCCTCTCCTCCTCCTATACAGAAATAAAAAAATCAAATTGAAACTATAGATATAAAAGATTCAAGTAAAA